GCTAAACTGTCCAGAGACATTGGAAAGCAGCAGAGCTCTGGATGGTAAAGTGAGGGTTAGAGAATCCAGCATCGGCCTGGTTGAGATTGGTGACTACAGTGAGGACGACGATGACTACATTACAGATATTACATCAGGTATCTTTGCCGACTTCAATCTAGATTATGCTGAGGTAGAGGAGGACGAGCTAAGCCCATTGAAGAATCTGAAGGAAACCCCAGACTCTGTGGACACCCTTAATCTGTCCTCATCGATGGCAAGCCACTGTGATCAGGCCTTCAGCCCCGACCCCTTTAATACCCCAATCTTGCCCAAATCCTTGGACAGTGGCTATGACACTGAGAACAACGAATCTCCAGAGTTTCTTTTCAAAGAGCTTGGAGATCAACGGGGTGGTGATAGGAGCCCGAGCCTGGCTGGACAACCTGAACGTATACAGCAGGTGGGTTTAAACCAGGTTGTCTGCAGTTCCAACAACACCTCAGAGCTAAAGTTAAAAAGCCTGACTGATAAGAACCCGTACAGGGACTCTGCCTATTTCTCTGACTATGATCCTGAAAATGAGAGGAGCCCTCAAGAGGAAGGCAGTAAGTTCTTTGCAGGTCCTACTAACCATGAATTCCACACTGAGAAATTGAGCTCTATTAGAGATGATGACCCATTCAAGAGGGAATTCAATAAAGAGGAGTACTTAACAAATCTGAGACACATAAAAAGTTGTGCTGTGGTGAATCTCTCAGAGGCTGACCCCAGTTCACCCCATCCCCTTCCCACCCCTGGGCTGTCAATGCTAACACCGTACCCTCCGCAGATGGGCGGCTGCCTGACCAAAGAGTCAGCCCCCGCAGAAGAAGACCTCGGACTGGAGACAGAGCACTCGGGAGAGGAGCCTTCCTCAGAGCTCAGTGCCTCCATTGTGTCTGAACCATCTTCCACTGTCCAGGAGGCCTCGGCTAACCACGAGGAAGGGAACAGAAGAGCGGACGATTACTCCCCTGTCCAGTCTCTGAATTCTGACACCACCATAACTGATTGCGGAGACGAAGCAGCCAAAGAAAATGAAAATGGTGACGGCTCCACAGAGGAGGAGGAGCTGCCCGAATTCAATCACGTCAAGGAGGAGACTGAGAACAGGAGGGCGGCCATGACTATAAATGAGGAAGATTTTGAGGACATAGATGCAGAGGAGTGCGACTCACAGGACAGTTTATGCGAAGAATCCAATGGCCCTGTTGTCCTGTCGACTTCCTCATCGCTGCTGGAGCTGTGTGGAGAAAATGTAAGAGCACCACTAGAGGAGGCGGAGGATGAGGATGACTCTGACGACAGTGAGTCCGATGAGGAGTTGAGGACCTACAACATCCAGGATGAAGACAGCGAAGAGAGTGAAGAGGATTTCACCACAGTGCCAGTGGTGGTAAGCGACTGCAGCAGGGCACGACATCTGCGCAGCCTCCTAAAGATGCCCCCCCTGCTCACCCAATCCTGTGAAGAGTTGGAGAGGAAGAAAAAAGCGGTGTCCTTTTATGATGGCGTCACGGTGTTCCTTTTTGACCAGGTACATTGTTACTTGTGCAATGTGTATTGCCTGTTAATGATATGATGATTTTATTGTATCGGAGTCTGAGAAATGTCGTTTATGTCCTCCAGGAGAGTCCCACAGGAGAGCTGGCCGACTACACCTTCTCCACAGAAACGGAGGAATCTCCAGAGTTAAACGCCTCTGACCATTATCCACATCCTGACCCTGAACTTGAACCCCAAGCCGGTGGATCATTATGTGACTCTGAAGAAACTGACGGGAGCTCAGAAAAGGGTGAGTTTGTCATGGACATAAAACACCACACACTCATCATAGGTGATATATCCCAAATGATTTAGTGGGACAGTGACTGTCTTGTGTGCTTTCAGATGGTAGTTATCAATGGGAAGATGACCTTTCATTTAATCCCCGTCCGTCTTCACCTGACACCATCCCTGAGCCCCAGTCCTCACCCACATCCACCTCCAACAGTCCAGAGGCTCCAAAACCTGCAGCTGTGGCACTCAACCGTTTTATGGTCTCACGATTCTCTATCACACACGTCTCTGACTCCCACATAGACTCAGTAACAGGTCTGTACTAACACTTTCATGCACAATTTTGACTATAGACCATATTCACATATAGACCAAGGGTGGGAAGTCTGTTTGGGATGTCAAAGTAAATGGCTAGATGACTAAAAAATGTGTTCTTGTTCACTGTCACTATATTTTGAGCAAATTGATTAGAGGGCAGGTGAACATGCCAATATCCCCAAAATAGGATAAAGCAACAAAATTAAATTTTACTTCCATGATGTTGAAGGTAAGCTCAGCATCTCACCAGCAACATAAACTTTATATTTAAGTTGTCAGAGGAAAAATAGATAAATTCTATTGCACAGACGTTAAAAGCAAGCAACATTATATGGTTTAATATGACTTTGGAGCAAGTGCATCACTACAAACTTTTACCACAATAGATGTAGGCTGATATAAGGGTAAATTAGTTAGTTAGTTAGTTAGTAACCTTAAAATGTAGAAAATATGAGATTTCTCAGACTTTCTATTATATGACTTGCATCCTGGAACACAGCAGTATGACTTCAAGACTCCCCACCGTAGTGGCTGCTGTGTGAATACGGGCTATTGTGCAATATTGATCTATTATCATTGTGTAAAATAGAATGTCTGTGTATCAAACTCCAAAAAAGTTGGAGTAAATTAAGTTTGTGTAAAAGTCTGTGTGTATGATGTATTTATGGTTTATAACGCCAACCTCTACAGGTTTGAAATATAGCTGGAACTAACGTTAATGTGTGATCAACACTGTGCTACAAACAAAATCAGTCCATTATATATTTCTATGATTATTTGACTCTTTGCGGGTGGCACGGTTGTGCAGTGGTTAGCACAGTCGTCTCACAGCAAAAAAGGTTCCCGCCTTTGCCTGGGTCTCTCCAAAGTCCAAAGACACACAGGTCAATGGGTGACTCGAAACTGTCGGTAGGTGAATGTTGGCGTCAATGGTAGTTTGTCTCTGTATGTTGCAAAACACCCACGATCTATGCCTGCTGTGATTGGCTCTAGCCGCGAAGGATAAACAGTATAGATAGTGGATGGATATGCAACATAGTGAGCCCTTAAGGTAATGAATATCGAGGCGAGTTAGCAGAAATGGGGACAAAACTAATCATTTTTCAATACTACCTTTTGAAACACTCACTTTAAACTTTTTGGTTACAATACTTATTTCCGATCAATTATTTCCAACAGGGGGCGGTGAAGATAATCCAAAAGACTGAGTGTTCCCGTGGTCCTGACCGGAGGAGGCAGAGTCCTGGTCCTTCTCAACACAGAAAAGCATTATTATTGTATTCAGATGTTTTACAGAGTTTTTATTTTTATTGACGTTTGGGGCATCTGTCTGCGGAGTCCTTCCCTGAGACGGTGCCTCATACTGTAGTGAAACACTGTTGATGAGTTGCACACTTTGTTCTTTATTTCAGTTCTGTGATGAGAGAGAGAGAAAGCTGCTGGTATGGCAACCAGGGAAATGGATACACAATCTGATTCTATTGTATGTAGGAAAAAAAAGTTCAAGTACAGTACAAGTGACAATAACCTGTGCTCAGTGAAGCATCGCTTTATGTCGGTCACCACAGATCATTTTATTTATGAATTTAAAAGAAAATATCTACAAATAAAAGGAGGGGAAAAAAAAAATGACATGCCAGGCTTCCTTGCTGCTCCTCTCATTGGCTGCCTTGGTCTATCTGCTTAACATGAATCTGGCATTTTATTAAGACTGTTAAAAATGTTTTTGTTGAAGCCAGAAAACAATGCTGTTCTAAAATCGGACTCTTTTTAAACAGTCGTGGGTGGTGGTGATAGTGTTTGAAGGTGGAGGCTCTGAAACATGATTTGTGTCTTAAATCAAGTTGTATTTAAATCACACTAATGGTGGATAAAGAAGATTTTCTGACTGGAAATGTTACTAGGTGTCACTCTCTGATTATCACCACCACTCACTCTGGTTGATAATGACAGACTGTGTTGTCTAAAGTTACCATATCTGTTGAAGCACTTTTCTCAAGCCAAACTGGGTCCGTATTTGTCAAAGTGATGGCTGTGTTGCTCAGTATCCCCCCCCCCACCCTGGAATGAAGTATCTAAACATGTGAGATCCCCCCACTCACGTCCACAGTGCCGGCTGCAGGTTCACTTTATTTTGTGGCACATTAGCTTTGTTTAAGTTGCATTTCATCAGCAATAGAATGACACCAAAAGGGACGGATTCAGGTGTCACGTCAACGTGCCAGTCATTAATGTTGAATGTCATCTTTATGCATTTTGTTCTACATCTACGTATTGTCCACTATCTCATACATAATGTATTCTATTCCAGTTGTGCCGAATGCCTGGGTCTGAGGTGTACACAAAAAAAAGACATTCAAATTAAGACATATCTCACATATTGTATGAATGCTATATCAACATGTAGCAGGTAGCTTGACTTGAATTACTACTGCTGTATTGACGGCTCCTTCCCCCTCTCTATGCTTCTGCAGCTCAAAGTGCCAATCCCGTTCCTTCTCACCTTGCCTTTTTACGTCCTGCAGGAAGAGAGGACATTGCTGTTGTATTTTTTTGAACAAGCATTTGAAGGGATGCAATCTGGGGTGATGGTCTCTCTCAAATTTGCCAAAGAGATACTACAGAGCCCATTGGCTATAAAGTGGCGGACACATTTTAGAGAAGGTGAGGTGGGTTGTTCTATGCACCAGTAGTAACATCATCGCTGTTTCCATTTCTCCCTCACTTATGGCTATTGTACTATCCCAAACAAATAAATCCAAATACTTTTTCCCCTCTTGTGTCTGTGATTTATCTGTATGGTTTTAGAGGTTGTTTTGTAAAAAAAAAAAAAAAAAGTAATACATAAATAAAATATGAAAACATGACAGAACACATAAAAGTATGAAGTTTGTGCCCATTTAGATTTATTTTGGACAGGATAATTTATATGCACTTTCTGTACAGTAACAGATATAATACAAACAGGGACAAAGGTGAGAAATGGACAAACAGAAAGCTATATAAAAAGTAAAAAATGCATTGGAAACTTGTTTCCCCGAATGAGCTGTGTAATAAAAGCATGATCATATCACTCAGTGTAAAGGACTCATCCATGGGAAATAGATTTTCATGATTTAAGTGTTGAATTATTGCAGGCTAAAGAGGAGCTTGAGTTTATACATCCATACACATTCTTGCATTTCCACAACTTCTCTTACTATCCCCTCACACATGCATAAACGGCTCTGCCTCAAGCTCCTCTCCCAGATGAGTTTATAATACTGAGAATGATCTCAATAACTATGATAATACTGTACCTTATCTGATAAGCTACCACTCCCGCAAAGCTAAATATTTAAAAAAAACGACCCACTATGTACGCGCTGTATCTCAGAAAAGTGACATTACAAGCAAACACAAACGGGCAAATAATCCCAGCTTCCAGAATGAGTTGGCTAATTCTGTATGGAGCCTACGTTTCCAAAAAAACAAAGTAGAAGGCACAGTTCCCACATCTGGGTGTACTGTATCACAACTAGTAAATCTATAGTAAGTTACTATTTCACTTAACAAAAGCAGAATTACAGTTTACTCAGCAACTGTCTAGTTCTAGCTTTCTGTGGCAGGATCCAGTCTACACTGTGTCTTCAGTGCATATAACAGTGATTCACTGAACCCACTGTGTTATATTCACCCTCGAGCCTCACTTAAAACAACTACTGCAGAGTGTGCCTCCACTGCTCATTAATGTAAGTAATCCTAAAACGTAATTTACAGTGTTGAAGGAAAAAAAAAAAAGAAAAAAAGAAAATCCCATAGTAGAAGTGCAGATAAATAATAACGTGACAGCATCGCTAGTTAAAAACCTATTAGCCATACCTCATCCACAACCGGTGTAATCTAAATAACTAATAAAATCTACACTGCCACACTCGAATGTTCAGGCTCAGACATTCAACATCTGTGAAAGCAAATTTAACATCACGAGAACTGACCGGAAATTCTCCGAGGGAATTTCCACAGCAAATAAACTAGGTTCTTAGTACAGTAACATGGCCTGTGAGGAGAGTTTTTTTTTATCCCAATCACACAATTTAAAAACATGCCAGCGTTGGCCCTTTTCTTTCTCCACTTATAGAAACAAGGGCCCATGATTGGACAGAAAGGGAACAGCAGGCCGCTAGTAGAAGATGGGTGCAGATCGGTCGTCAGTAAAGGTGGGCCGGAGGTAGACCTCCAGGGCGCGGTCACTGTGGGGAGAGGAGGGGTGGGGCAAGGAACAGTGACAATTAGGTTGAACACGGTACAAAGGAGATACACGGTCAGCTACGTTTCCACACCCAAAGAAGTCTGCCCTCTCAAGGTTTTGTTTGAAGCAAGTTGAGCAAACAGTGGTGGCATCTATTGTGAGTTTGAGCAAGCACGGGTAACAAAACTGTAAAATGATGGAAAAAGAAGACAAAAAAAAAACAGGCATGCAGGGCAGGGTTAGTTTCTTCTCTGCATAAGAACACAGATAAAATAAAAGTCATCACTAATTATTTTACAACCCAAAAGCTGCCATGTCCACAAAGATGGACAGAAAAAACTCCCCCCAGCATCCTACTGCAGCCAGACAGCCAATGACAAGCACAGAGAACCAGGCGGCAGTAGAGGAAAAGGAAGAGATAGTTGGCTGAAAGGCAATGGAGGCTGGTGACTTACGGAGGTCCTGTTCCCTCAGAACCGGGACAATTCTGGACCCAAACTGGAAGGTAAAGAGAACCTTTGGGTTTGAATGGCTCATCTCTCAGAGCATGCACGGCTCACATTTTGTTTACAACACTGCTGGTTAGTCTGGTGCAAGACGAACATATAGGTTGGTAATATTAACTTGTGACTGAGATGAGGGACAGTAGGTACACACTTCATGCTCGACATGCAACGTACACCGCCGTATGCTCATTTTCAAATCTAAAACCGTGTGGTCTTTCACTGTAAATGCAATGCAACCAACAGGCAGGCGTTCAGAAGTACCATCCGCTGAAATGAGTGCACTGTTCTCTTATACAACTCAAAACACAAGCCAACGATCTACAATACAACCGTAAGAGAAGGCAAGGCAGGTGGATACACACAATACACACGCCACACCACCACACAATCAGATTTCTGTCACAGAGCAGCACAGATGCTATGGGTGTTACCAGGGGGGAAGGGGGTGAGGGTGAAACATGCTGAGGCCGCACGTAAGGGGTGGAGAGTTTCAGAGCTTTGAAAAGATTGAAACAAGGAAGATATTCAACAAAATGTCATGTCACTGACAGAACAGACTTCTCGTCAGACCAGACTGTTTATTAATATATAGAGATATGTTTTATTTAGAATACCTTTGTAAAAACTCACCATACATTCAAGGTCAATTTTTTGTAATCACATTTTCTGGTTTCCCTCCACAGCATGCATAAGATAAACAATTCAACTAATCAGTAGGTTTTCTCATCGTTTCTGCAAATATTGTTTTTTTTTTCATACAAGGACAATAAGTTAGATTTTTTAAAGAAAAGACCAAAAAAAAAAAAAAAAAAAAACTACATAGCCACTCAGGGAATACAATCATAAATAACAGTGAGAGCTGCAAAAATAAAAAAGCTGTGGTTTGGTCATTTCCCCTAAAACTAATTCACAGCTGTAATTGAGGATACTCAACAAAATGATCAGAGACCCCTCCCGACTCACTGTAGCTTCAGGAAACAGACCAAACTTAACGGATTTTATTTCATCTGTTTAAACTGGCAGTTAATTTAATCAAGAATGGTGGAAGAAAAAAAAATGAAGCTTTCTGTGGGGGCTGAGGGCATCAAATTTAATTAAAGTTTTAATATTAAAACTTGTTTTTGCAATGATCATAATACAGTGAAATTTGGTGGACTGACAGAAACAATTTCTAATATATATATAGATATATATACTGTGATTGTTGAAGCTCAGTTGTAAAATTTTCTTGGTTGCACAGAAAGTATGTGTTTTGTTATAAAAAAAAAGAAAGAAAAGCAAAGTAAGGCAAATATGACACACACACACACACCCTCTGGACAGAAAATCAAGTCTAGCACTGACACGAGGAAGCACAGCGCCACCTATGGGATTTCTCAGAACAGATACACAGTAATCTGCTGCACAGCCTTACTTTGAACAAAGCTTTTTTTGAGCATGTGTGCACATGTATGTGTGTGCACGTGTGTGTGTGTGTGTGTGAGTGTGTGTGTGTGCATGTGTAGGCATGTGTGCGTGTGTTCACGTGTGTATGTGTTTGTGTATGTATTGGGTGGGAACTCGATAACACAGGGCCCATGTGTGCTTAAAAAAGGCCATTCAGCCAGTGGCTTTTAGTACAATGACATTGAAGTCTTTTGGCACTTGTACAGTACATGAACATGTCCTTTAGTTTGACAAAATGACACAACCATGTACATGCATGAAAGACAAGCAGTAGCAAAGGCAGTCTCTTGAGAGATCAGTCCGTGATGGTGGACTGAGATCAGAGATACAAGTATTCAGAGTCCATATCGCTGCATGCCGAGCAGGTAGGGCCCGCTCTGGCTCTCTCGCTCAACGCAATCCTCCACCCACCAACCGCTACTGTCCGCACCGACACCACCAGCAGCAGCACCCAGGACGGACGGAGGGAGCAAAACGAGGGACCCGGGGAGGAAGAGAGGACAGAAAGGAGGGATGAAACTGGCCTCTTCCACTTGGAGAAGGGGTGTGTGTGGAAGGCAGAGGAGAGGTGGAGATAAGCGGACAGGAGGAGGGAGGCTAAGAGGTGGGAAAAGATGGGGAGGAAGAGGCCCCTGTGCTATCCGGAGCTGTCTGTGTCTGTCTGTATGTCTGTTCTCACACAGTCGAAATCAATTTGCCATCAGGACTGTCACTGTGGAACAAAGAGAGAAGGAAGCTTGCCAGGTCGGACACACTCAGAGAAATGGAGAAAGACAAGACAGGCACAGGGAGGCAGGGTAGAGTTTAGGAAGCATGTAGGTGGGGGGTTCAGGAAAATCTGTGTCGCCCCCACCTACAGGTACAACTCCAAACACACCTGCCGTGATCAGGAAGATTGGACTTCCAATTCCCTCATCAACAAGTTTTTACCCAAATTTGTTTTCTGATTGGATGTCATCTCCCTTATTGAACAAATTAAAACTACTGTTGATGAGAAAATCATCAAGTCATCTCCTTAGCTGGAGGCACGTAGGGTTAGATTAGTCTGTTGGGGGTGAATACACCCTGCAGGACAGTGTTGTCTCAAAAATACTGATACACAAAAACATGCACACGCACGCACACGCACGCACACGCACGCACACACACACACACACACACACACACACACACAGCGATACTGTTGCCCAAAGCCCCAGACTGACAAGCAGTGATGATCGATGAAGTCAGCATGATGTCTACTGTCACAACAGGTACTCCACCAAAACAAGACTGTACACACACAACGCACTTCTCTCTTTCTCTCTCACACGCACACTCCCTCTATTGCACGAGCACACACAATTCTACGAACGCACAACCCGATTGGACAGAAACAGGCACAGGATACATCCGAACCCTAATCTCTCACGAACCTGGTGAGTCAGCAGGGACTTGATGGGATTACAGTTAAAATGCCCTTTATGGGTCACAAGGGCTCTGACTATGTCCTGAGACACTGACCCCACTAGACTGTATTCAGCGTTACGTAAAAAAACACTCAAAGTAAAGAACAGCAAAGATGGAAGGACAAAGAAGACAGTAAAAAGATATTAAAAAGAAATACTGTGCATACATATGACCAGGAGGGAATTTTAACACGATATTAAGATAAAATGTAGAGCCTGGGCTAAACTATAATCTTGTGTATTATAATGCTGAAATGATTACTTGATCAACAGAAAATCAATGACCGACAGTTTTCATCTTATTTATTTTTTCATCTATTAGGTTTCTATGATTTGAAGTATCTGACAGGTCTAATTATTGAAAATGACTACAGGAATCAGTGTTAAAAACTAATAGAATAAATTATAATAACAAAAAAATCTATAGCAAATCATAAAAAACAAAGATAGTTGCAGCATTACTCCAGTAAATGTAGGTAAGTGTACTTAATATCAGACACTGTGTGGGACTATACCAAAGCATCACAATCCCATTACACATACTAATCGTATACAGAAAATACTATACTAAAGTCTTAAAATACATTTAAGGAGATATGATGGAGTGAAAATACTGATTTAAATTCAAAGAACAAAACTTATTCTATTAAAGATTTAGTTCAGTGCATTTTTTTGTCATCATCTTTTGTTTTTCAACTCCACCAGCTCAAAAGCCTCATCATCAACAGCACACTGGAAAATCCTGCACTTCATAGACGAATGCACTTATTTACTTCACTACAAACCTAAAACCTGTGTGGGATGTGCGTGTGCCGTTATATTTGCACGCTGTGGACGTTGATCAGTTGCCTTGCTGTCTCTTGTGTGCTCCAGCTTCTGCATACAGCTCAGGTAAAAAGACATTTGTCTGAGGTGACTGGCTCTCATACCTATTTCTTAGCAGATTTCAGTTATTCCACCCAACTACGCACGATAAATACTTCAGATGGCAACAGCAGTCATACAGTATCAATCTTTTCTAAGATGACGGGGCAGAGGAGGCACTTACCTTGTGGCAAAGCGGCCGTCATAATCCTCAATAGCAGGCTGAAAAGATAAAAGTAACTTTAATTTGTGTGTTTGCATGCTGTACTTGCATATAAACACTAGGTGGCAGCAGAAACTGAGCAAAAGTCTGATTTTGTTATGAGATGCTGCAGGATTACTCATATCCAATTATGCAACATAAGTCTAAAACAGATGGGGGCTGCAAATGAACTAAGCGAGCGTAACAAGTGTAGAAATTGTATTATTCACAGGTGACGTGACATTGTTACCTACCTGTGTGCCAAAGCCTGCCATGCTGTAAGGGCGTGGGCGGGTCTGTGCTAAGCTCTGTGCCAGCAGTCGGGCGGTCAGGCCATAGTCAGGTGTGGGCAGTGATCCGTCGTTCTCCAACAAGTTCCCTGTGCTGCTACTTTTCCCATGGTGCAAACTGGGGAAGTAACAAGAGGCATCAGACTTGGACTCATTTGGAATCATTAAGTCGACGTGCAGTTTTTATAAAAGTGCAACATACTTCACTTTGAGCTTCTCACTGTCGCTTTCGGGCAGCACGCGCGTGTAGGAGAACGGGAACCAGCCGCGCCTGAGAAGTGAGTTAAGACCTCGTCAAACTTTCGCTGCACCTAATTTTTATGCAATCTCACCGAGTGGATTTAGGAAAAACAGAATAAATGGATTAATCACTTACATCTTGTTCTTCTCATTCTCCCCATAGTGCCAGCCGTCACGGGCTTCAGGCACTAGCAGGGTAATGACATCGCCCTCGGAAAAGCTGAGCAGGGTGCCGTTGTCACCAGCAGCGTGGGAGAAGATGGCCTGGACACGAGCACGCCCGTTCTTCTCCAGCCCTGCAGCCATGGAACTGGATCTGGGTAGGGTCCGTGTCTCACCTAAAGTTTTTGCAGACAGGCACAATGGACAGAGACAATTAAAGTAAATTAAAATGAAATTAAAGTAAGTAGGAGTTCTGAAGCTCTGAAAAGCTTGAGTCTACAGTGATTTTTAGGCCCAATCAGCAGCCATGCAGATGTTCTAAATCCAGCATCATCTGGAATGTTCTGTTGCATTTTCTTCCTTCTGATAACTTACCCACAGGGTTCTTATTCTTGGCGGGGGCAGGCCTGCGCACAGGGAGTGTGTTGGAGTAGACATCGCTGACCTGTCTCTGAGGCTGAGACTGGGGCTGGCCCTGCGCCTGGGTCTGAGGGGACGAAGGCCTGACTTGAGACACGGACATCGTCCCCCCATCTGTCCAATATTCCTCTCCATGGACTCCTGTTGTCCCATTGACCATGGACATGCCATCAGGGCCAATCAGCCTCTGGAATAAACAAGCAGACAAATGGATTAAATAATACAATTTGTAATAGTGTCTTTCCCACTGCAAAACTAAAGCATCCATCATAAAATATTTAGGTCAAACTGAAGTGATGATTAACATCTGCTCTGTTCATATTAATTTAACACTGCAGTTGGAGAAGGGAATTCTAGTAAGAGTCTAGTCTGTCAGTTGCTGCAGCTTCTAAACAGCTCATTAAGTTGAGTGGCATCTTTAAACTGAGACTAGAGAGATGTCTCCCTGATTTGCTTCTTTATGGAGGGCTGAAGGGGGATTCACTGACATTAGGACCGAGCTGTTTGCTCCTTAACTGTTGAAGAAAATTCAGTTAAGTGATCACAGTCAAGTTATACAGTTTAGATAACTAGGGGATTACTGTTAAATCAAAACTTTTTAACTTTGTGATGTTATGCTCAAGGCTGTCCCTACAGAAAATCATCCAAATTAACATGATATATATATATATATACTGTATATATATCATTATATCTATATAATGATAATTCATGAGATTAAAACACATTTATCTGATCAGCAAACATGCAAAACATATAAATAAATTACTAAAAAAGTTTCACTCACTGCTGGGTGTCCAAGGCCACTACCCATGAAGACGGCCAGCTCTGGGGGCACAGGAAGTGGCTGGGCTCCAGGGATTGGGTCGGAGATGACCAGGTTGGATTTGGAGGTATGCAGGGGGCTCGTGCCCCCAATAGAGGCAGAGCCCATCTGCTGGGCTAGCAGCATGGCCCTCTCAGGCAACTTGTTGGGGTCCGAACAGGCCTGTTGCCACATTGGAATCTTCTGGGTAAGAAGGTCTTTGCCCTAAAAGGAGGGACAGATCGAAGAAGCACTTAAGAGAAAACCATAAACCTTCAGTTTTCTCCCTGTGTTCTGAAAACAGTCCTCAAAGATATTCTCCTCACTGTGTATCCTTGACCACTGCCCTGGGCACAGCCATGGTAATATGCTGTGTGGGTGAGTCAGGAAGACAAAACACAACCACACTGCCCGCTGCAACATCTCACATGGCCATTGTTTAGAAATAGAGGTAAATGCACAGGAAGGCACATGTTGTATATGAATGTATCATATTTATATACATGTACACACACATAACAAAGACAGTGTGATGTGCTAATTTGTAGCTCTCACAGTGTCTTTCTCTCTCATACACACACACAGCAGATCCTCTGGGAAAGGGTTCTTCAGTTTGCTGAAGGTGAACTCTTCCCACGCACACCCCCATCCTGATTAATGACTAGACTCCATGTTGAAAAACAAAGTGGCAACACACACACACACACACACACACACACACACACTTCCAGTTACATCTTTAGGCTGGCATTTTACACCCACCAGTAATCCCAGGAGACTGATATAGTCCATTTCCCAAGAGTTTTGATATTTGCGGGTAATGGATAGGCATACATTGTAGCATGCACACGCACATGCACTTGACTGAATCCTTCTTGATAACTATCTACCTTTGATGGATGATAGAGTAAATCTGTGTGGATTTAAAAACATTCTTCGATTCAAATCTCAGCAGTGATGTGAAAATAACGAGGAGCTGTTATGAAATTCTCTCGTAAACAACTTGTATGAGGAGTAATTTGCATTTTGTCGTCCTGCTCATCGCACTAAGCTTTAATTTAAATCTATCTTGCTCAAGATTCAGTATTTTGAGTCATTTTTGGAACTGAGTGACCAAGCTAGTTCTCCTCACAAAGAAAGGTGGAGACACTCAGAGGTGCAATGATGGATTACAGCTTCAGATATGCTTGACAGCAGGGCATTGTCTGCAGTCTTAATGAATATTTAAAAAGACAAGGCCCCTATGAGCGGTCAAAGCTAATTCGACTTTGAATTATATATCTCCTACTATGCTTTTTCTATCTCCTACAGCAGGTGAGCTCCAAATAAAACAGAGATGACTTATGGGTAGAATTTGTTTAAAACAACACAATAACACAAAGAGAATACGTTTTATAAATTAAGTGTTTTTCTTGGTAGTCAAAAGACAAAGTTCACACTGAACTCCTTCCTGTCTTGCGATCTGGAGTGTTGCAGTCGTTGTGAGTCCAAAACTACTTGACTTACAATGACAGTGGGTCACACACCATACAAACTTTCACCAGGAGAAACCCCCAACTTGTGTGTCATTTTGTTCATCTTGGCGTTCAACAGACACTCGGACTGACCTTGCCGTGGTAGGCACTGCTGTTCTTGGCCACGGCACACTGGCGGTCTACCAGGAAGCAGTACCTGCGGCGCTCCTCAGATAAGGCGGTCTTGTAGCCCTCAGCGATAAAGGTGTCCAGCTCAGTCTGCTTACTGCTGATGGTCTCCACAAACTGAAAAACACAGAAATAATTACAATTAACTGAGTGGAAATATTATCTGCAGATTCCCTTTCTATCATATTTATAACATGCTGAACACAGTAACGACCTCATCCTGGTGTTGCACAGCTCATGTTTGCGTGAAAGCTGCACATGCTGGCACTTTATTTCATACTTCCTAGTATTTATGCACCTATCCTAACCAGATATATTATTTATACATGAATATATTTCTCATTCCTAACACTATTTTTTTCTTTGTTGAATAGTAAATTCTTCTTCTTATCTTAATGGCAAGAAGAGTCGTAGAAAGCTTTCACTGCACGTTATACTGTGTATGGTTGTGCATGTGGCATATAAAAACATTCACGTTTGCCTGATTATTATGGAGAAATAATTTTTCAGTGAGAAAAAAGACAGAAATTAGGCAAATTTGTATTCGAAATTCAAACCTTTATTGGAACGTGGTGGGAAAAGTTGGTATTTGACCAGTAATGACCAGTTCTGAAGTAGTTTGCCTCCTGATCCAGCAGAGGGCGATCACTTTCAGCTTGGCTTACTGCATGGCCTCTTGACCCTTCGTCGGTAAAGCCAGCCAGTATTGTTACATTGTTTTGCAATGACAATGGAGCTTGCAAAGCCGTCAGACAATCATGACCGCAGAGCGTCTGTGAAGCGGCATGTTTCACATCAGGTAGACCAGTGGTCCAAGCGACTGTCTTCAACATCAACATTTTGTAATGACACGCTGCTTCACACAATTACTCACATTCAAACCTCAGAGCTTCGCAGCACAGCACCATCTTGTACTGCCAATCACTGCACAGCTCCAGTGGAGCAATTACAGGTTAAGTGCACCTCGGCAGTGTTAGTTAAGCAAGGAGAGAGCCGTACTGCGGAACTATGCCTGGCCACATTTTCCCTGCCGAGTGCTTACGGAGACGAGGCAATTAAGGCTGAAGATCTGGAAGTGGGGCAGAGGAACTGCTCACAGAGACCCACCAATCCATTTTACATGTCGGACAATAACAAATAAGGTGTAGTGATGTACACCTTGAGAGTGGGCAACAACGACTGACAGAGAGGTAGAGATCAAGAGCTGTCGTTTTGTCTCAGCATGATCTCTCTAAAAAAGGGAAATGTCACCGGTAATGTCTCACTGAGTTCACTGAACACACACACACACACACACACACACACACACACACACACACACACACACACACACACAGACACACACACACACAGGTCAGTTTACTGGTCAGTGGCGGTGGAGAGAAGCTACAGGGAGCCTTATTCTGAAGAACAAAATGGCATTTAAGTTTTTTTTTTGTGAGTGTACACGTCAGGTTTTAGATCCCGTACTCTCAAAGTGGGTCGAGTGACTGAGGCCAGCTTCATGGCTTTAATACTGTAGCATCTGCTGATAAATACTGACCTAGAAAAGAGTGTTATATTTACTTCTATTGATTTTCCTTAGGCTGAACTTTTCTTGAGGGTATTCACAGGTTTCAAGAGGGCATAGCTTTTCACATTGAATCAAGTAACCACACCTACAAGAGATACCTTTCTTATGGTATTTATACTGGTTGAGTGTGAAAGACACTTGAACCTTATGTTTTTGACATTTGTCAAAGAAAAACATGGCAAAGACCCTACATCAAGATTTTGGATGATTCTGATTTAGTCAGTGGCAGAAGAGAGGAAACTGATCTACTGTAATCCATGTTGATATTATTATTGGTGCTGCTCTGTCAGAACTTTTTAATTTCAAGTCACTTGTGTTCACACAGCATTAGAGTAGAGGGATTTACATTGCATATATTCCTCAGAGACTCATTACCTCCGCCAAGGAGATTATGTTTTCACCCATGCCCATTTGTTTGTCTGAGCAAGATTATGCAAAAACTAAAGGGGGAATTAACATAAAACTTGGTGGAAGGATGTAGTATTTGTCATGGAAGAACCCATTAAAGTTTGGTTTGGATCTGGATCCGGAGAACTGATCTAGGAATTATTTTTCCATCACTTTCTTTAACAATTTTAGTTTTTGACATTTTCACCAACTTCCCAGAAAGAATCCATGGATCTTCACGGAAAGAAAATACAGATATATTTAGGGGACCGATGCGTGCAAGTTTGCTACAGATCCAAATAAAAATTTGGATATAGTGATTTCATAAGGGGACCTTAAGGAATGCACTCTAATCTGCCGACTGCCTTTTATAGGTATGGTACAAATTTCAGGCCCTTTTGTTGACATTTGACTTGAATCAGAATTTTGGATAATTGTTTCACTTAGTGATAGAAAAAAGGTAACTGACAATCCATGCTGTTGCTGCGTCATAATTTGCTCCTCAAGTTCAGTTCAGTATTTTTCTTGCAGCATTAGAGTACAAAGAGAGAGTTCTATATTTTCCTATATTCCTCAAAGACTTGTTAAGCGGGTAATCGGTTCCTGTGGTGCCATCACACAGTGCCGATGTATTTCACTTAGTAACCACCAGAGAACAGTGCTTCCTTCACTACGCCAGCAGCCAAGAGGTTACTTCACTGGTATTCAAGGAACAAAGTAGATTAATGATACTGAACACAAACATTTTCAGGAATGGCCTTTTTGCATCAGCTCTTGAAGAAATCCACCGAGGCAACTTTTCGAGGATAATCACTTGGTGTATGCAGCCTGACCTTACGCAAATCTTTCTGTTCACCTTAAGCTTAAATGCAGTTCTTATACACTGGCCCAGTTAGTTGCTTTAGCTCGGCACATGCGAGCATAGTGTTCAGGGAAAGGCTTAAGCATAGTCTCAGCAAGGTAGATATGTCGCTGGAGCTGCCAACTTTTTTCTCCCAGTATTTTTCTTTCCTGTGAAAAGGTTACCAGATGGTGATGCTGTTTTGGTGTATGTGGCAAAGTGTGTATACTGCAGAGACAGATAGAAAAAGAGATAGAAAGAAGAGAGAACGGAGGATAGAGATATGCCAGAGTGACACACACAGCTACTGTAGTTCGGTTTGTGAATGGGTCTTTGGTTACACGTGACAACCATTAAAAAGATTACAACAAACTTGGCTGCCCCTTCTCTCCCTCTTTCTCCTTCTCTCTCTCTCCACGGCGGAGTGACCCTTTTGCGTTTTTTTGTTTCTTTTTGCAGCCTCTGACTCACAGTCTGCCGGAGACTCCGGCACCTCGGAGCCGAGCTAATGGGAGCGACTCAACCAGTGCATCCTCTCCTCTTGTCAAATCCACACAGCCCAATTCTCCAACCATTCCAAAGGTCACCAAAGTAACCCAAGACAATGTTGCGGTGGGAAAAGCCCCGGCACAAACCAGTCACCATTATATCAGCGCGACCTCAGGTTACTTCGCAGCTGGAGTGACTCGTTTGGCAAAGGTTATGAATATAAATGAAACCTGCTGCACATCAGTCCAGTTCTTACTCTCTGACTGATCAGCTCTGTCTGTGTGTGTGTCCTTACACTGACATATTCAAGATTTTGATTTATTGAATTTCATTTTTGTGTCATACACATACGGGACATTTATTTATTTATTTATTTATTTATTTAGAAAAAGAACAAAAAAAGAAATTGAGAAACAAAAGTAGCCAGTAGTTTTTTTTTTTTACATTTCATGCAATTAATTAGATATTCTTAACTCATCTTTCAGTCAGAAGGCTCCACTTGTAAAAACAAGAGTGAGCCCAAAGCAGGACATTGAGTAACGTTTTAAACATTTAGTTTTGGCAAAGCATGTGAGCAGGAGAAACTGTGAGGCAGCAGCAAAGATCAGTGAGGAGAGCATCATAACTAAATGGGCCATCCTAATGTGAGCATAGCTTCTTTAATAAGAGGAACACAGAAGAAAATGTGATTCATTCTCAACTCTCAACTCAGCTGTGCAACTTTAGACCTTTGACACCAGGATAGGGGTTCTGTACAAATTAAAACATTTATACACCTCAAACTTCTTCTTCTTCTTCTACTTCTGTCCATCCTGGAAGAGAGATGGAGAGGGATCCCTCACTTATGACTCTGTCTGAGGTTTCTACACCCCCCCCCCCTGGTTTAAACTTTGTTTTAGGTAGTTTTCCCTTTGGGTTAAAGGCAGAAGATGTTTCACCTTGTGAGGCCTTTGAGGCAAATTGTGATTTGTGGGCAAAACAAATACAATGTGATTTGAATGATTGATAGAATTGCCTATATGATGGAGTATTTAGAGGTAATTGGATGACAACTTTCAAAAAGCAGCGGAGCATAAAACAGGGTTTCACAAACACAGGACTGTTTATACCCAGTTCCACTCCTGTGGGGATTTAAAAGCACTTTGCGGCACAGCTGAGAGCTGCTGAGGTCTGTGCTTCTGTTCCTTCATCATCAGCAGCTTTAAGATTCAAAAGAACAGTGTTGTATTGTAATGCTCGAGGGCACAACAGAAAGAACCTACACCTACAGTTTCTGCATGGATTTGACATGCGTGTGTGTGTTTCCTGCATCTGTATGAATATATATATATGAATACATATATGAATATATATATATATATATACACAATTCCAGGTCTGAATTTCTCTTTTATATTTTATGACAATGCTGAAGAAATCCTGATCTTATGAAACATCAGGTGACATTAATTCTGAAACCCATACTCTGTCTCCTCTCTATCTGTCTGGGCCCTTATTAACAGTCTATACAGTACGGAGGAGGTTTATCTAGATGAAATTCTTTTCTATGTCATGATGGTCCACTCCAATGAACTATATAATGAGCTGATTAGCATTTTGGCGGGGGCTTTGCCCATTGATGAGGTGGCACAGGGAAAGTGTCTGACGGCAGAGAACAGGGAGAGGAGGGAAGACGGACAAAGAGACGGACAAAGAGAAGCGGGAGAGACAACAGTGAGAAGTGCAATAGGGAAAAGAGGGCAAGAGAGAAAGTGAGAGAAAGTGGAAGAGAGAGAGCAATGGAGACTGCGTTCAATGAAATGTGGCCACCATCTGTGTCCGCTGCCAGACATACTTTACTTTTTAATGAAAAGAGAAGAGATATAAAAGAGAAAAACTCAGCGGCTCTCATCTGTTAAAATAACACAGATGTGGTGGAGTAGGAGGAAGAGGGGACGTTAAGAACTCCACAGCAACTTTACTTGTACTTTCTCAACTGAAAGAAACCAGAAATGAGACAGACACGGCCACTATCTAAACCTTTCTACAGCGTATGGTTGTCGTTGTGAAGCGCAGGAATGAAGGGCCACGTCTCTCTCTCTCTCTTTCTCTGTGTCGTTCTCTCCTGAGGACTCAGGCACAAACAAGTTGACTTTTCTCGAACACGCCCACAGCCGCGATATAATCAGTGAAAGTGAGCAGACTGAAAATGAGAAAGGGGAGATTGATTTTCCTTTTGACTGCTAACCGACTGTAGGATATGAGTCCAGAGCCACAGATGGGCCCAGGTGATCAGTCATACAGCCTCAGTGAGATTGTGCAGTAATTCTACCACTTGGAGTGTCCAATAAGTTCAAATTAATTGGGTTCTCGGCTGCCCTAAGTCTATTTGTCGTCACCTCAACTTAGATCCACAGTAAAATATCTTACAATGTAAACGGAATAATGCATCATGGTCCTCATACACTAAAATGCAAAGTCTTTAAAGACCTCCTGACCTTTTGCTTGGTGCCTGTGTCAGGTCAAAATATAATTTTATCTGACACTATCGAAACATACATACAAGAATATCTTCTGTGGACATTTGTGGACAGTGTTAATGATTTAGTACCTTTTGTCTGGTGTCACCAACAAGACAATTTTTATCAAAGTATCAAAATCTACACAGCGAACAGGAATTGTAAAAAATATATATTTTTTAATAAATAATAACATTTTCTTTGTGATGCTGCCATGGGTGGATCCAGGGGTGGGGCCAGGGGACAGAGGAACCAGCTTAAATCTGATTGGCAGCTGAAGTGGCCCTATTCGTTCAGTAGTCTAACAACAGTAAATACCATAATTTGTTCAGCATTTTATTCTGTAACTACACAAGCTGCTTGAAGAGGGAACATTTTTCGACAAGGAATTACTTTATTGTGCACTTTACTGAATCAGGAATTGTACATGGATGTTGGGACGTATAATTGGTCCCTCTGTGTAAATGACGGCCCCCGATTTAGAAAATAATCCGCCACTGAATATGCTGCAGAAGCTTTTCCTCTCACACGACCATTAGGGCAAACTTTTAATGTCCCTTTAACCTTTCACAATGCTTGAACACCACCTCTCCGCTGCAAATTGGTCAGTAATTAGGCCCTGAGTCCAACGTTTTGATATTTTGAGGTGTAATGAACAAACTTCCTGCTGATTTGCAAGAAAGGATTTCATGTATATACCTGTTCCTGTTCATCAAAGTGTGCTTCATCTTACACGGGAACAGAGGCTTAATTATTCAGCACATGAGGCAGTCTGAGACAGACCGGGACATGAAACGACTTGTCATTCTTGACTGGAGATTTTCTGGCTTAGTGCACTCACACACCCGCTTCATACAGAACCAGACTGCAACTTTGACACTTTAAGATGACACTTCATACAACATCTCCTCATGGCATCCCTGACACAGTGTAACAAACTCAATATGACAAAGCAGTCAGATCATTCCAACACTGTCAGGGCTCAGAAACAGAAGTGTGTGTGTCTGTGTGTGTCTGTGTGTGTGTGTGTGTGTGTGTGTGTGTGTGTGCGTGTGTGCGTGTGTGTGTGTGTGTGTCTGTGTGTGTGTGTATGTAAACTCTGGAGAGAAAATTTTCAAACCCAGTAAACTCTACAGCTTATCCACAAGTGTTGGACAAACCCAGATTCTAGTTCATCTGTTGATCTGATTCTGCGAAGGCCAACCAAGCTTCCCAGCGAGACCCAGCAGCAGCATAGCAATTACAGTGCAAGCCTCAACCTGTTAGCTTGACATTTTTGCCTCCATCCCTGCAGACAGTCAAGACTTCCAGCCACTGGTGAAAACACAGTGAAGTTGCTCTGTCGCTACTTTCTGCAGTGCAATTTTCAGTTTGAGATTAAACACTTGTTACAGGACTAAACAAACAAATACCTAGTAAACAGCACCACAGAGGAAGCTTAGAGGAGTAGGTTGATGCAGCAACGAATACGTGTCTTTGCAGGTAATTTGCGTGTGAGAGCACACAGGCACTCCCTCTACTGAGACAGAATCTGAAATGTGAATCTCTGAATCACTCATTCAAATCCATCACTATTCATTTCAGCTGAGCTGCTCGGCGGGAGGTCGCTTTGCTATGGAAATCACCACAAGAATGACGACGACCAAAGTAAACAGTGGTTCGTTCGCTCTGTGAATCAGGCGACCGCTTCGGTTTTTGAAACGTTGCTTGTCTCCAAAAGACTGAAACTGTTGAACAAAAATATGGTTGTACATAAAAGCATTTGAGCATTTCATCCATAAGTTACAGCAGTTGCACAAACACACACCCTCTGCGTGCCACGTCATGCCACCCACACACACGGCACAGGCCATGCCACACCCTTCTCCAGTTTACTGTTTAAAACAGACCACAAAGCAAATCCCACCAGCACAATGCATCGTATATAGTTTGAATGTTGGTAAATTTATCATCAAAGTAAATATTTGCTTGAATATACAGTGTAGGAACATTTAAAGACAACATAACTACAAACCAAACAATTTAATGAGGCAACTTTACCTGCTATTGCTTTCACTGCTGCACATTGAATGAGATTCTGTGTCTGTCAGTGTTTTATTTTGAAAGGTCAGTGTTTGAGGTACTTCTGCTAGTCCACTTCAAGTAATTGAGTCGGCTATTTTGTGCTGTACATATAAGCTGTGCTGTTATTCATTCTGTTAAAACCCTGATCAAAGCTCTGTGCCGGGAACACATTGGACGCATTGAAGTAAATGCGTTCCAGTACATCAATTAGTGTAGCCGACTTATTCTTTTACTTTTGTGTGTGTTTGCGTGCTGTGTGTGTGCCTGCTGTGTGTGTGTGTGTGTTGATGTTGGCAACGACACAAGAAGCATTTTCAAACCTCCACTATTTGCCTTCCCACTCAGGGCATCGCGTCGCCTCCACCCCCATCCTTGCTGTTTAGTGTATTCTCTTTACTTTATGAAGAATAAAGTCATTATTTCGCACCAAGACTCACTAATCTCTAATCCAACCGTCACCCACATGCACACAAACGCTGCCGCTATGAACGGCTGGAGGATGTTTGTATTGTAGTCATCTTCAAATTGCTATAGTCGTGTCTGAGTAATTTAACGTGTGTTCTTGTTTTACACAACTTTTAATGGACCAATATATACATATTTATACTGTTGTATAAATCTGAGTATTAATGTGAGATTAGGAGTCGTGCAAAAAACCCGGACGAGAGACTCACCTGCATCTCTTTCTCTCCGTACTTGGAGGGGTTCTTGCTGCCCTGGCTCTTCCTGCGCAGCTTCTTCAGCTCGGCCTGGCACTTCTCCAGACTCTCCCCTTTGCTCTTGTGCTCCATCTGGTATTTCTTAAGGGCAGCCTACGTGGAGCGACAGGCACAGCACAAACACAGAATTAGGACCACAATTTACAAAGGTCAGGGTGAAAGAAGGTGGGACGGAGATGGGCATAACAGCCTAACAACATTCTGGTTTTGTTTTTACACCACCAGCAGTCACTGGATTCAAGTCATTTCAGTGCAGTACTGCAAATCCTCTTTTACTCCTTGATTTGTGTTGTAATCACTGCATATAACTGTTGTGTGGCACTGCAGATATGAGGACAGACTGTTTTCTCTAGACTCCCTCTTGGCATTTGGACAAGGCTTTGGCATCTGAGAGCAATCTTATTAATTAAAACTCTGCATTTGTGCATTATTTGTCTTCCAGGTTGGATTTTTGCAGCGACACAGCTCGTGATCGTGCCTCTTAAAATATGCGTTGCAATTGATCATGCAAAGTAAAACAAAAAAACATATTAATGCTTCATCTGTACAACAAGCAAAATGACTGCTGAAGTCCTTTTATATAGCCGGAGTTTATTCATTCAATTTATTTAATTTGCTCATTTAATTATTTATTTTTTGAGGGAAAAACAACTTTGTTTCCGGGCTGTACCAGCTCTGTTGCTATAGTAACTGTGCCTGGTGTGACAAAGCTCATGTGGTTTTTTCTGTACGAGGCAGAACAGGCGGAGAGGAGCTCGTGCATGAGGGTTCAACACCCGCATTTGCATAGTGTAAGATGCTGAGGATGAAGGTAGGAATCCTCCAGGCAGCGTTTATTTGCTGGAGAGGGAGCAAAGATGAAGTCGGTGCCGGCATTGGAAGACTGAAACGTTGAAACATGCAGCGTTTGGATTTCATAACAGAGACTGGTGGTGGGAGGGCTCACAACTGGATATTTTCTTTTCAACTTTATCTACTATTGACTGAGTCCTTCATGTCACAAGCTTCTCTGAAATATTGATTTAACCATATTGACAAATTCCTGACCAAACAGACTAAACAATGCCTTTGCACCGGTGTTTTCTTTGATAGAAAATAACAATGATTGACTGCTTCATTCACTCCTTCCTTGTCTTTGAGGTAAATGAGCTGAGCCAATACGTGTTGCTTTGCAATCACATTTACATTACAACTCGGAGAAAATGAGGCTCCCTGGAGGAAAGTCCCGGCGCAGCTCATAGATCATAGTACCGATTAGAGAAGACACTATTGTGAAAAAAAGTTTCCTTGTAGTTTGCAGGGCCTGATCGCCTCATTAAGCCGGAAGGTTCCTGCTAATTTACAAAGCAAAAGCCTGTGTGACGTTAGTTTCCAGGACTTGTACCCACGACTATCACTCACTGAGTATATGTCACTAAGCTTATATAGGACCAGAGTGGGCAGCAGATGAACCTTAGTACACTCGGAGAATCCCAAAAGGCATTAAGTCATTTAGAATCTTTGTTTTAGGTTCTTGCCCAAATTCTGACCTCTGTGTAATGACTAGAGAGTGCATGAGCCATTATGTGAGCAAGAGGGATGAGACACAGAGGCGGAGGGAGAACAGAGAGAAATGCACCACTGGGAACATCACATGCTGAGAAATAAAAAAAAAAAACGGCTTTTGCTTGAGTCTTTTTTGAACAGAGTCAAAATTTCAGATGATTAATTCACAACGTGTGAAGCAAAATGATTGCTATTACCACTGCAGCAGATCTGTAGGAAATTCATTAAAAGTAATGGATGCTAAAACCACAGGGACCGACCAAGATAGGGATGTGTGAAATGGCTGTTGCATCTGGATGAAACATCTCCCTCATCTTTTGCATATCACTTTATGCAGAGAGCACACATTTGGCAGATGTGCATAGAGTCAAAGTTGACACAGAGATGGTTCTCATTATAATGCTCATGGTTATAACTCAATATGACAGCGTTTGATTTTATCCATTCGTCTTCTTTGTGATGTCAAGTCCTGTTTCTGTGTATCGGTAAATGCAAAGGTGCGTGAGCAGCAGCTTGTAACGTGGTCCTTCCACAATACAATACAATGTATGGCAATATCATCCCATCCCCCAAAACAACGCACACAGTGCTGCTCTACACTGAGGCTACAGCCCACTCATTCTAAAGATATCACATGTAGACCAGCTCCACAATTCTTACACATACACTCAAACATATTCTCCAGAAGGGGGTTATTATAAATCTGTCTTCCCTTGACGGGTGAGTAGACGTGAAATGGTATTTCAAAACACCCCCACCCCCCACCCCCCGCCCCCCGCAGAAACATCCTCTAATTGACTTTGATCGAGATGTTAACACACATAGTTTTGCCTTCACCTCCGTTATCAGTCTACACTTAAAAGATTTGAGGGAACATAACATAAATGATTAAAACGAGCTGAAAACGTGGAGTGTGCTTATTGGATGGAGGCTGTCCTAGGGTTTTGGAAAGCAGAACCAATCGGATACTCACAGTCAGATAACGAGCGTCCAGCTCCACCTTCTTCTCCAGCTCGGAGAGCAGCTCGTTGTGGAAGGATTTCAACTGGGGAGAAAGCACAGGAGCAGCTCAATAACACGCTGATGATATTCATGTCGATGGTGAAGAAAAATCAGAAGCTTCCATCTGAGTAAAGAACACCACATTAAGTTATTCACAATAGATCAACAAGCTATTTAATACCATGATACGTATACATGTGACCAACAGTCCTGCCTGTGAGGCCTCTCTCAGCTTGTAGATCACTGTTATTGATTCAGTGCTATCTAACACAATATGTGCAATTTGGTGCAGATCCAAATAAAAAAATCGAGTGAATTAAAATGTGATATTGGAGACTGTTGGGCCTGGGGAGGCATTGTTATTATACTGGTGTTAAGATTGTGACTGATTGTTGTATACTGATATCAATTCCTAATCTTTGCTGTTTTATTTCTTTTAATTCATTGAATGTAGGCTGTTTTGACATGCAACATCAATGTATCTATTTTAACTACATTGATATGATATTGATTGTAACAGCAAACACAAAGTGAACGCTAAGCTAAAAGTGTATATCGATTGTGGAACTTAAACAATCACATTACCCAGAATGCCACACTGTTCAATTAACCCCCTCGACTTCCCTAGCTGCCTCCTGAGTTTGCAGTTTGGATTTATATGGGGTCAGCGTGTCTGCTCGTTCAATAAGAGTTCATGTTGGTTTAATTGCCATGTTTCCATGTACTGCCCCGAGGATCTCCAGAGATCTGTGTCGAGGCTGGGCAGCTTTATTAAGCAGCGTCGTGAGACAAGGCCGCAACAGCCAAAGTAGAATATATTATTGTTTTAATAGCTTGTCATTGTGTCGTAAGATAAATATTGCATTATAGGACATTTTGCATTTCCATCGCATTAGACAATGTTGCTCTGTTAAACTGAAAAACTAAAAACCCCTTTGAGCTTAGAATACCAACCATCTCCTCGAGCTGCACTTGGATCTGTCTGTGGACCTCAGCCATCTGGAACAGCACATCCCCTGCACAGAGAGGGAAAGGAGAGGGAGAACACACATCAACAACACTCAAAAGCGCGACCATTTTCTACTGCAGAGGAACAGAGAGGAGAAAGGTAGGAGACGAGAGAGAAGAAGAAATGAGAAAAGCAAAGAGAGACCCCAGCGTGCAATGCTCATGCAGTATAACACGAGACACGCAAACATACAGGACGAGTGATTTGTAACTGGGACAATGAGGAACAAGATGAAAGTTTGTTTTTTTTGGCACAAGATAACAGGAAAGCAAGAAAATTAAATGGCGAGTGAAGAAAAATTAGGGAAAACAAGAGAAACTGAGGGAAACAAAATTGGGAAAATGAAATTCTTCAAGCGTGTAAGTAATGATGTCTCGTGGGGATCAAACACATCCCCTCTCTTTCTTTGTTTAATTTTAACGTCAGGCAATGTGACTTATAGAGCCAAGAAAAAAAAAAGAAAACCAAAAACAACTCAAAGTTTAAAGTCTGAACATAAAAGGGAGAAGACGAGGTAATAACCAAAAGTGAAGAGATAAGGAGGGTCATGCAGCTAGTGAGTGTTTGATTTTCATATACCTACAGGCTGCCTCTTCTGAATGTGCAGTGCATTGTCAAGAAAAGGAACAGAAAGAGCTACATTGAGCGAAAGACACATATACACAGAGACCAGCATGAGATCTACATGTACAGAAGAATGAGACACAGACATTTCCCAGACCAAAAGATCCAAAGCCCCTTAGATTTTACACCCGCTGACTTCTGACATATAAGTTATTATGATGGAGTCTGACAAACGAAATACCTCAAGATTTTGAGACTAATGTCATGATATCACAGGAATATATAATTGTGATTTAACGTTATATATATAACGTATATATATATTACAAGGAAAAAGTTGCAGTTTAAGCAGAAAATAGTCCGAATATTATAAGAATAAGAATAAAAAAAGGTTTTAAGAATAACCACTCCAACCCCATGTGGTTCTTTCTTTAGACATTTTTTCTTTCTCTGTCCTGATATTTACAAAGCCCAAAAAGTATTTTGACATTTGTGAACGCTAAACTTACAGTAAGTATAACCATACAATATGCTCCACACTCCTTTTAACGCGGACAATAGGCTGATCTTCAGATTTTTACACTGTGAAATGACACATAGCCTAAAATTACAACTCTATTCTCATGATATTATGACCATTATATTCCAATAACTATATTGCAAGTTATGGCCTACACTTATGATTAAATTTGTCATTTTAATGCAATTTTTTTCAATATCAATTTAATAGCATCTATGAAATCTGGTAAATGTTGATTAAAAGAAATCAAGACCATTGTAAAACATAATAATGCATGAAGTACGTGCTACACTGAAGTGCGCACATCAGATTTTTTTGTCCCCACACATCCACTCTTTTGGCGGCAGACCTGGAAGAGCACATCTCGACCCATCTCGAAACGAAACTTTACAGCTTTTTCCAAAGAGCTTTGGAGTGGTCTCCTTCTCAAAAGACAGCATGTACAAAAATGCAAATCGCTGCAAACACACAACACTGAAGTGACGGACGGCGAAAAAATGAAGGGGAAAAGATAAATGCAGCAAAGCAAGTTGTAGCTTTAGACCATCAGGGAGGGAAAATGCAATGTGAGCAGTAATTAACCTTGAAGAGGTGGAAAACTGTATAATTTAAAGATAAAGTGCTTTGATATTTGTGTAATTTGTTTGGTATCATTTTACTTTAACCCCATATTTAGCAATTATAAGCAGTCTATAATTAAGTTAAATAGATAGCACGTGACGCACCATAATGCAGCTGCAAGTGGATATAAAACAAGTATTTATTAATGTACAACCATAATAATGTCTACTATAACTGTGATGTTCTATCTGTTTATGCAGCATCTTTCCTTAAACGACAATATAGTGCGTCATAAATAATTTAACTGGTTTTATTAAATGTATTACTGGTTATTAATGATAAATGGAGGGTTAAACTAAAGTCACACAAAGTGAAAGATTGATTCCCAAAGAGCCAATCGCAAAGCAAGGGTTTAAATTAAATCACTAGTATGATTAATAATTTATTTTTGCTTATCAGTAAAAAGTCATTTCGACCATCTTGTCACGTGTGTGAGGTGTTTGCAGCAAAATCCAAGACTATGTTCAATCACTAAATTCAATCACTGCCCCTATGACTGCTGCAGACCCCAGGCAGACAGGCCTTTTGCTCATGATGTAACCTGGCTACACGATCTTGTGCCTCGCAGGAGCAGAGAAGCAGGCCAAAGCATCCTGTCAGTTCCCAGCAGGCCTCCTAAGCAGCTTAGAGATACTCATCCCTGATCACAGCCCTTCACGGCTTAGAAACCCTGGCATTCTGCTGGCAGCTTCAACTAGCTGGATCAATTAAATTAAGTGAGCAGCCATCACTATACCCTGCACACACACACACGGACACACGGACAGTACAGTGGCAGCAGAACAGGGTGTTTGTAAGAGGCCAGAAAGGTAAAGAATGAATGAATCAGTGACAGATCTCATCTTGTCATTTGCAGTTTCATTACTGCACAATGTGCAATGCCAAGAAAAAGAGAGAGAGAGAAAAATCACACTTTGGAGATGCAAATAGTTGCCATGGCAACTTCGATATCATATCACACACAACAACGGCAATAGAGAATTGCGCTGCAACCTTCCCGGGCAGTTAGCGGGAGAAGATTCAATCAAGAATCAATAGAGGCACGATCTGGAAAATCCAAACGTGTTGTGCAATGTTATTGTTTCACTAAGGAAATATTTGCCGGACATGACACAACCTGTGAGACTCGATGCAAGAGAACTATCAGCCTGGCAAGGATATCCGCATTCCTGGCTGAGAGTCATACGACAGTGACAAGCCCCCGAAAGTGCACGGAAACACGCAAGATACACAACCACAGACACCAGAGAATAAAGCCTCAGAGACTTGTCATTATTGTATCAATATTTCCGAGCTCACTTCAGCCGCGCCTGTGTCCCAGGCTGAGAGGAAACAATGGGTCCTTTGTTGGGAGGTGAGCTCAGGTTGATCTGCACCTGCAGCCCAGCAACAAGCAGCCACATGCCTGTTGGCTTCATACCACTGAGTCAGGGGAGGATGCATGAACGCAGCACTTTGGTGCATACGAACAGACTGTCCCCTGAAGTATGACATGAGTTTGTGTAGATGTATCGACTGCTTGTGTAACAGCAGCGATGATACACCCACACAGGTAGAGAAAAAGGAATAAAAACACTGAATAACAGAATGTGGGCTATGGAGCAGAAAAAGAAATCACATAAAAAGTGGAAGTTTGCAATGTTGAAGGGAGAGAACCAGAGAGACAGAGATGGAGGGAGGGAGGGAATGGAGGTGGATGTAGCTGCACTGAATCACTGGTGAAGGTCAAGCCGGATTCACTACGGGTTGTCATGGAAGCGGGATAATGCTAGGGTCGTTGCCATGGGAGAAGTTGCAAGATGAGGGGCAGCAGCTGCAAAGTGCTGTGTTACAAAATGCTGCTCAGAGATCTCCACCCCTCACAATCAGCTGTCATCAGCATGCCCACGTCCCTGGGGAGGAAGAAGGGAGGGGGGTCCCACCTGGGGAGTCGAGTACACAGGTATGTGTATATGTCTGCAGTGTGTGTACAGTGCAGTGATGTTAATGCCTTCCTACATGGCAAGCTCAGTCACAAGGGAAACAAACAAGGTTGAAAGTATAATGGGGCAGCGGGATAATGTGCGAAACGCAGGTAATAGCTGCGAGTCCGGGTGGCAGCGTGAGCGTGTGAAACAACAAACATGGAAGTGATGACAGTTTACAGCTTATATAGTACAACCACTTCTGCTCTGATAAGACACACACACACACACACACAAACATTCCGGAGGAACAGCTATTTTCCCACTTCGCTCATTCACATAACCTCTCACAGGAAGGAAACTTTTGATGTATGACATATTACTAAAATTGAAAACTCAGCCATCGCAGCTGTTCAACCTAGCAGCCTAAAATAAGCTTGTCCAGCAATGGTGTCATGCATTTAGGCCATAATGTAGGGTTTCACATGCAGGAGCACTGTACGACTGCTCAACAGGAGAGGGCCAACGTAGGGCTGACATTTATTCGACAAGGTCCCGGGTACAGGCCGTCATGCCGTGTCTGCTGGATGATGCAATGCATTGTGTAGCAAATCAAACCCCTCTGGAATCCTGGCCTGTCTTTAAGCTGCAGCTCCACTATAGCTTCAAACACTGCACAATTTAGAACTGACAAAATTAAATAAAAAGAAATACAACAATCAGTTTTTGGACAAGTATGAAGCAGTATGTCGAACATGGCTGGAAAAAATATCATCACCAGTTGAACAGCGATAACAAAATGTTTAATTTCTAATTCAACTAAAAACGCATGCCATGAACCTTGACCACAGAATGGTTGCCGGAGCCTCATAGGAGCTGCACCTTTTGAAATTTAAAACAATTACTAAAATAAGCAGTTTACAAACAGTTACATCAAATGCTCCTGTTCAGTTACTGAAGAAGCTGAGAATAAGAACCGTTAACCAGATATTATATTGTAGTTTCTGAGCTTAATGATTTAGACAGTGGGTGCAGTACTTTGGTGATATATTGAGTTCTAACATATACTGTATGATGGCCGACATGGCTGCTCTATTTAGCTGCATTATGAGTACTAAACCCCGCCTCCTCTATGTTAATAGTTGGGATATGGACCAAATTAAAAAGAAGATCATGTCAAATATATTCCGCAAGGACATCTTCTGTCATTGTAGGTAGTTCTTGTCACATTGATGTAAGTGCAACTGCTCATTTGTCGAGTGAGATTATTTAAAAAATGTATTTGTTGTCATTCGTATCCAGGATATCCATCTTTGAAAATACAATCTAAAGTTTTAGCATAAAGCTTAAGAAAAGCACATACTGACAAACAAAAACATAAACTAAAAAATTTAAAAC